TGGTAACCATGGCTGTTTAACCCTTCATAGAAGCAACAAAGCTTGGGCAAAAAAAAAAAAAAAACAGATTTCAGTTATTTATGGTATTTTTTACAGTAAATAAAAATGTAAATTCCAAAACATCTACCACTGTCATGTTATGCATTGTTTCTTTAATCCAATGACAAGATGTGGATAGCTGGATTTTGTTGTACAATGACAGACTACCTGTCTTTATGCTAAAGTGACTGACACAGGGAGTGGTGTCACTGTTCTCATGCAGCTCTCTGCAATAAAATGTCCAAAAACTTGTACAAGTTGTGTTATTGATGATTTTCTGTGTCAGTGACTGTAGGAGCAGATCAGAAAACACTGCTCTGTATTTACACATTAATGTGTGTTGATTGTCAATTTGACCTATAAATGGTAGGAACCTTTCTGTCTAGGTAGTGTTTCCAACTGGAAGGGGACAAACTAGTTTTTGACCGCTAAGCAACACGCTGAAATTTACCGTATGTATTGATGTTGGTTGGAAATATGTATTTAAGAAGATTTGGATATTAAATAAAGACACTATGTGCATTGTAAAGCAATACGAGTTTGACTTTATTTAATTAGACATAGGTAACATAGCGCGTCAATTAAGTTTTCCTGTTTGGATTCCCTCAGTGGCACAAAGCATTGGCTTAGCCTCTACAGTGGAAGACTGTTGTCAGTTTGTGTGTGACGTCATGTTTTTCTCTGCTCATGACCATGAGTGAGAGCTTCAATACAGACAGTCACATTAAAGTCAGCCCTGATCGCTCACACAAGCAACCCTCTAACTGCACCGAGCTGTGAAACATGTCATGCTTTAAGATAAAGGTACAGGTCTGTGTTTATGTCTTTTAGCAGCGGCTCATTTAAATTTTGATGGAACTAAAGCCTCAGACCTGCCCCTTGTAACTGTCTCTCACTTCATTTGTTTGAGATCCCAGCACCACAGCAGCAGACGTGGTAGTCAGGTGGTGCAGGGAGATACACTCTGACGTTTCCCACTACCATATAAAATAAAGCTCATGTCACTCGCCGGTCTCAAGAATGAAATATGGGTCGCATTTGCGTGAGGCAAGGACACACTACATCACTTACTGTAAGTGTTGTTGGCATAAAATATTCAAGCTTAATAAATGAAAAAGTCGATTTTGTTTGCAGAGAGTACAGTGAGAAACAGCGTTTCCAGGAAAAAAAAAGTGCTTTGGTGTGTTATGGCTTTTGTGCATCATTAGTGAACTGCACATAAAGGCAAAACAGCAGAAATTAAGGAGATACAGTCAAACAGGTAAATACTGAATTATCAAAATAACAATCTACTCTCTCTATTAACTACTCTTTTAAATTCTAGTATCATACAATAGAGCCACAGTGCTTGTACCTTCTTTACCACTCCAAAATAAAACTAAAATAAATATATATTAAATACATTTATTTATTTTTTGTTGTTGTTGTGAATGTGTTTTCAGATTTTCCTATGGGTTTCACCTGAACTGATTTTGTTGTGTTACTCTTAAGTTTAAGTTTTTCAAATGAATAATCCACATATACTGACACTATGATACAGGTTCTGCAAGGATATTAAGCTGACAAGTTAAACAGGCTGACTTATTAAGTACAGCACAAAAAGAGAAAAAATTAACTCCTGCATTATGAACATAAAAGATTAAGACTCAGAGCAGCAGTGTAGTAACAGTGTGGGTGAGATCTATTAAGGATCTGTAGGAGGAAAGTTCAAGAAAAGGACAGAAGGCTTAAAGACGGAAGCTGCAGGATTTACTCTCCAAGTTACCTGACCTGCTTTTTCACTTTCTGCGATGTTTTATAAATAAAACACTTCATTATATCATGACTAAATGGAACATCATCTTTCATGATGTGTAATTTTTCACAGCATTTAATATTACTGATAAAGTGTAGTTGTGTTATTAATCTCAATTAATGTTTTAGGGTGTCAGAGTGCCTGAGAAACACTAAGAAAAGGGCCTTATTCTTCCTGAAAATGAAATAATCTGGTTATTTTTTCTGTAATCTGTGACACACATGAGAAAGCCCAGTGTTATGCTTTTCCCCCCCCTCAGTTTCATTAAGAAACACTTTAATCAAATTGCATTATTTTCTTTAGTAGCTATCATTTGTCAAACAGGTCACGAACATGTAAAAACAATTTAAATTTACTATTTAAATATCCTATAGCCAACAGTTGGTTAGCCTAGCTTAGCATAAAGGCTGAAAACAGGTGAATAGCTCGCTTGGTTCTGTCCAAAAGCAACAAAATCCATCCAGAGTCACTAATCAGCACGTTACAGTGAGTCTAGATTATCAGCCAAAACTCTACGTGATCACCACTACTGCATAAAAAAAGGATCGAAGGACAGCACATTTGTTTTGCTTTTTGATTGGAATAAACAAAAGAATATAATGTATTAGTGAGCTATACTCGTTTTTCCTGGTCTTTGGCTCTTTTTTGGATGGTACAGGCTATCTGTTCCTCCTGTCATTGTGCTGAGTTATGCAAATCACCTCGTGGCTCCAGTTTCATAAATAATGCAAAGATGTGAGAATGGTATTAAATTTTTCATCTATCTGTCAGTTAAAAAAAAAGAGAAAAAGCGTGTTTCTCAAAAAGTTATCCTTAAAATTTAGAATCTTCCATAAATATTGACCAATATGCTCTAAATGATCACGTACATAGAAGCGAAGCAGCTATGACACTGGAGATAAGAAGTGAATCTACTGAGTTCAATGACTATTCTGTGTCGTTAATGCTTAAATAAGCATCTTGAGTCTGTGATATTAAACCATGTCTAGTTGTCTTGTTGCTTTCATTGCTTTAATTTAATTAGAGACAAATGATAATGAATGGTATTGTTAACAGTTAAGTTAAGCTTCACAGAATAAGCACAAGGTTGTTTTTTTTTGTTTGTTTTTTTGTGGGCTGCACAGTATTCAATCTCCTCAGACAGCCATATTCTAAGGATGTGTATTTGGAGACCATTTCAGTGCCGAATCAGACCAGGTCGAGTGTAGTGTGACTGCTCTCCAACTTATTCAATTAGTGTAAGCTTCACTATAAGCCCTTGGAGCACAGGTCATGGAGTACCAGCACGTGTTTACAAGTACTGCGTGTGGAAACGGTGCACTGTGTGGTCAGAAACACAGTCAGTTTCATCACAGAACAATGGAAGAAATATAAAAATGGCAGGCTTAGTTTTAGTGTCACTAAAGCTTGGATGCTCAAAATGAAGTCGCTTTACAGATTTTGGCAATGTGCTCAAATAAATCCAAAGACATGCTTATGATAGTGATATTATTGTAACAGTGGAAGCATGTTGACTCTCATCCATAATCCATGCTGCCTTACTGCTTCATCGCGGTCCATATTGAGCTCATTACTCTGGAGGCATGCTAAGTGAGAGCGATAAAGAGCTTGTTGTTTGCCAGACAGAGAAGAGAAGCCAAAACATGACACAATAGCTGTTTGCCTCTGTGTATTTCCCTGGTTTTCAACTCCACACCAAACCCTGGGATCATCAAGAGGAAACACGCTCTGCACTAACAAACCTCCGGACTTCTACAACTTAGAAACAGCACAAAACAAATAAATGGCATTCTCTTGGCATTCTCTTCAAAGGTCACACATCAGCCACTGCCAGTGAAAAGCGCTTGTTTGTGGAGCAGGCCGCTGTTTAGGTCAGCCTCAGGTCTCCTTCTGTCCCTCGAGGATTTGTCTCATTAAGACATGGTGGCCTGTCCAGAGGCAAGAGTGGGGTCATACCTTACAGTAACTAGAGGTCCAACACACATGGACATTTAGTGCCATCAGCCTGCCAGCACTTTAAGCTAATCTTGGCCCACCAATACCGTGACCTGCTGACATGACACGTCAAGGTAAAATCAATTTAGTGACTCCACAACAGAACATGGCTTAATAACATGATTAATAATTCATTATCATCTTGGTTATTGTGATATCAACATGTATTTTAAATGCTGTCTTTTCCTACTTTGTGTTTGATTAATCCCAGATGTGTTTATTCATATAGTCAGAGTCATAAAGAACTATTTTCGATGACAATAAAGGGCTCCTGCAGCAGACCGTGTTTTTCCCCACAGAGCCTTGATTTCAACCTCATGGAGTCAGTCTAGATTGCATGACAAGACAAACGACACTAAGACAGAACAAGCCAATTTCCAAGTATCTTGAAAATCTATGTGTAAATGTGCTGAGGAGAAGTGGTGCTATGTTTAAAAAGCACATATTTCTAGATTGTAATGTTTCTGTTTACTACTCTTGTATTAGGTACATATTTTGGAAAGCAGTCTCACTTTACGGCATTTTTTTCACAATTCCTTTTATTTTTTTGGAAGCTATAGGAAACTTAATAAACCAAGTGCTGATGGACCGAGTGAAACTCTGTAAGTAAGGCAGGAGTAAAGCAAAGAGGTATCTACAAAGTGTAATCCAGAAGTCTGCACCTATAAAAACTGAAAACTGTACCTTTGAAATAGTCTTCTTGTGCAGCGATAAACTACTCCCCGTGCTCTAGCAACATTTGGAACAGTCTCTGGAAGTCCCAGAGGTGTGCATGTGCAGTTTCACCATGGACCTCAAACTTGCACAGAGCAAACATCAAAGTCAGTGTCAAACTGACCCAGCCTTCATGCTCTGGTGAACAGAGCTGGGTCTTGTTTGACACAGATGCAGAAAAGGACTTCCAGGAAGTGTTTTAAACATGCCAGAAGCACTGGTAATGGTGTATCGCTGGCTGCACAAGAAGGTTACTTCAAAGGGTGAAGCAGGCAAGTGTGAATCAGGTGCAGGGTTTCGCTTTTTATAGGCACAGTCTCTGAGATTCTTGGTCACACCACGTACAAGGACAACAACATATCAACTGTGTTGGTAAATGTCAACCAGTGAAAATATCAAGACAAATCATTTCTTTAAGGACACAATCCAATGTGTGTCACTGGATCAATGGACTCACCTCCTCAACCAGAGCCAGCATACGCCGAGTGCTCTCCAGAGACTGTAGGGAGACAGAGCAAATGGTTAGCTGAGAGTCCAGAGGAGAGCAAGTACAATACCTGTAATAGATATAACGAAGATATTACAGTGTGTTCATTTAGAAAACTGAGATTTAAATGCATAAATTGGTGGGTGGACAAAAAAGAAGATTCCAATAGTGCAGACAGACAAGTGAGCAATACTCAGACACATAATTAGCTGTAATTACTCCACTCCTCTCGTCTGATCCCATGATTAATTATGTGATTCCTATATTTTGTTGGCTAACTCTGCAGGACCCCTTAAAACTCGAACATTTCTTAAACCAAACTCTTTTTCGTTCCTAATCCTTACTTCACTCTTGCTAATCTCGTCATCTCCTGCCTCTCCTCTGCCCCCCCGTTGCTCCATACATCCATCTATCCCTGCCTTCCTTATTTCTCTTTTCCTCTACTCCCATCCCATCAATGGAGCCTCTTGGCCCTGCATTATCTCCTCATGAATGTTTAATAAGGCCATTTGAGCTGCTCTATTATTCTGCTGCACAGAATTATCTGCTCTTCCTGAGCTCCTCTCAACTCATTAAAAAGGGCAAAGTTCTTCCTTATCCAAAAAAAGCACAGTCTTGATGAAAGAGACTTAGAGAACCAACTGCTAAAACAAGGGATGGTCGCATTAGAGCAGCTGTGTCTGTCAGCCTGCAGACTTTGGAGATACATTTGTTGTGCTTATGAGGACTGGACATTTTGAAATGTCAAATTATAATTGGCATGTCATAGAAAAATCTTTGTTCACTTCAGACCACTTTTTTGCCTCACTTTCTCTACTTCTTACTTTGCCAGTAAAACTCGGTACCATCTATTAAACTAAATGTTTAGAGCTGTGAAATTAGACAGTAAAGAAGTACAAAGTAGATAAAAGATAACTTCTTCTGAGCAAAGGATAATATGGAATCCCTTGAAACTGTCCAACCCATTGAGTTACTGTTGTGTCAATCAAATTCACTTGGACAATACAGCATGATGTAGCATGTTTCCTTTTTTTTTAACGAGTGTGTATGTGAGTCTTCTACTGTACCTCATCAGCTATCTGGTCCGCGCGTGTCTGGAGGTCGGCCAGCTCATTGCGCATATCCGCTTCGTCTGCCATGATGACTGTTGAACTTTGACCTCAACGAAGAAAACTGGAAGACAGAAAGGAAGAGAGAGGCAGGTTAGTGCACCAACAATTCTACAAAATCTACAAAGGTGTTTTGTGCAGCATGTGAGCTGGAGCACAGGAAGGGATCTGATTTTTGTGCATTAACTAGCATTTAGACTGACATAAGGCGTGTATTAAAACAACCCACTGTGCTGCATTAATAAGAGCGTGTTGCTTCAGGACTGAACGCAATCCCGGACAGTTTGAGTAACATACCCACATTAAAGGATTACCAGGTGCCAAAACACACAACAGAATACTCTGAGACAAGATGTTACAACTGAACAAAGCTATCATAGCAATTATTTTACCTTTTGCTGCGATAACCGCAAGGAAAACAGTAGAAATGTGGTGAAAACATTATAAAGGGACTGTGGCAGCCCCCCTCCCAGGGCTGTGATTTTTTTTGTTGGACTGAATACATGTTGAATTCACCATCGATCAATCAAACATTACAAACACAGCTTCTTCCTCTGCACACACATGCACACACAGAGTCCAAAAAGCCTCTAAAAACACAATTGTTTAGATAAAATGGGATTTTTTTTTCTTCTATGTAAAGGCCATTCACTGCTACACGGATGGAAGTGTCTGGTTTTTTAGACTTCCATCTATAGAAGCCCAGTGCTTCCTTGTCTCCAACACCACCAAAGGTACACCACATTATTTAGAATCAATATCGTTAATATCATGAAGGTAGTGTTAATCTGGGATTACATGATAGAAGAAGTTATTTGGATGTTTGTATGACCATGTTGGAGAAAACATGTTTTAGTTCTGCAAGTGCAACGCTGGCCATCATAGAAAGAGAGAGGACACAATCTCTTCTTAGAGAAATTCTTAGTATTACACTTGGTTGTTAGTCTTGATTTTCTAAAAAGTTAAAGAGACAGCTTCAAACCCTGGATCCTTTCTTCTGACTGTTGGTTTGGAAACGTTACAGACGTAGTGGGACGCAGCCTCCTACCCCAGTTCTGACATCAGGAAGGTGTGAGAGGTGATTTCTAGAGCTGCTTAGCTCGCTTGCTACCTGAAAAGCAGTTCTGATGAAGCACACTGGCAGCTTAAAGGCAGCACAGCTCTGATCCTTCATTCAGTTGATCCAAAGTGCTTTACAGACAACAGATGGTGCCACCCAGGTCACATTACCATGAAGAAACAAACAAATATCAACCTGTTAGCCGCAGGGCTATGTTCATACTGCATACAAGGGAGCTTTTGCATGCCGTCTTGGTCTCTGGTTTTATTCTCCACTCTGCTAACCTCGAATAACAGTGTGCAGCGCCATCCACTTAGTTACCACAAGACTCCACACTCAGTGCCACAGTGTTTTCTTCATAAATCATGTGACACTGGACAAGACTCTCCCTGCTTTCACTCAGTTTGTAGACCACCGTACCAGAGGAGACTGGACCCTGGACCTGCTGTATGGTAGTAATAAAGAGGCCTCCCCATCAAAACTTTAGGACGGTGATCTGCTGTTTATCAGACAACAAGCCAAGAATATCATCAATGACATCAAAGCTATCCTGAACAAGAAGCTTAGAGGAGGCAGTAAAGAGGATCCAGAATGATGCATTTTTCCTACTGAGGTCAAAAAAGTTTATTGATCATCATTACAACTTATTAACATAAGTAAAAACACAAGGTATAAGTGCACAGTGATGAAAATAGATCACAAATGGAGTTGATCAGGATAAGATTGTGATTGGATGTCAGGTGTAAACACTCAGCATTACCACATGCTGGGAAACGAAAAAAAAAACAGCCACAAAACTTTATTTGGCAACAATAGGAACAAATAGAACCTATAGAACAGCATTGTCTTCCTTGAACTCCAACACAAGTGTGGTTGACAAGCTGCTTTGCTAATTTGCATACTGGGATCAGATCAAACTGCAGACACAATTTTAATTCTAGAAGTAAATGCAAAGACCCAGGGATTTTCACATTAGTGTCTAACTACGGATCACATGCATGATACCAGGTGAAGGAGAAGAAACAGTCACAATTCATCATTCTCTCTCTGATACACCCTTGGATTACCTGGTCAAAGCATCCTTTTGGAAATAGAAAATACAGTTAAACGCAAACTGCTACAGGTCTTTGGAAATGAAGGAATATAATCTGTTTTATTTTAAAAAGTTGTTGAGCTGAGCTAAAATTAAAGGCAAAATTCCTACATCATAAGCACAAACTGATGCACATTTTACTACTTTAAACAGCATGGATAAATACATACAATCACAAACATGTAAGAACAGTGGACTGTATATTGGATTCTTCAGGGAAACATTTCTGCTAGAGAGTTCAACCCTCCACCCTGCTAACCCTGAACCTCCTCCTCAGGGATCAGCAGTGAATCAAGATGAACGAGGGCGGAGCGCCATCACTGTAGTTAGCAGAAAAAGTATCAGGACAGAGACAGAGTTCTATTTTTGGTCCCAGACAGTATTTCATATAGCCACACACAGTAGCGCTGGAGGTATGGTCCATGAAAAATGTATACGGCTGTTACACTGCAGTCTGACAGAGCGACAGCCTGCTGCTGCTGCTGCTGCTGCTGGCTGGGACGAGGGCGACCAGAACTGAGCAGACAAAGAAAACCAGCTCAGACTCTGCTTCCTTCTCTCCTTCTCTCACTCTTTCATTCTGTTGCTTTCTCTCTGAATAATTAAGCCTTTAATGAGGCAAATAATCTGATCGGGTCCAATCAGGTCTCATTTGTGAGTCTAATGCCTTTTTGTTTCTATTGCACAAATCATATTGAGGAGGTTTTGTTCTAATGTGGCTTGTCGCTGATATAAATTTAACCACCCAGCAGCTTTCAGCTCGGGGATCATTAAAGCTTTATGTAATCTAATCTACTGCAACATACAGTGTAGCAAAGGGACCGAGGGACCACTGGCTTTTGGAGTCAACCAGGCACTGTGGTGGACGATTTCATTAGGCTGCTGCAGCAAAACAGCAAAAGGGAGTTTAAATGATTTAAAATGGAACATTTTTGTCTACAAAGCAGCAATATTTCAGGCTCACAGTAAGCTGCTGTAAACTGTCATCAATTAGATGCCCCGTGATGATGTACAACTCTTAAATTGATTGTAAATCGCAAAAACTACTTGTACATTTTGTTATGCACCACATATTGAGACCTAAAAAGTTAGTTTCCTGTTCATCTGCTGCATCCATCAATCAGTCGCTCTCACAAGATCTCCGAGGTGAACAGACACAAGGTCAGTTAGAGCCACAGTGGGATGTTTGATAAAGTATCTCGTTGTTCGGTCCCGCCTTCTGTCTGTCTGTCGGACTCTTGCTTGCCTCCATCCCCGTGGAGTCGTCACGGCGGTTAATAATTGAACGTGTGCTTGGAAAAGAGATGGAGGGGGCAAAAAAACTGCCTTTTCATAGTGCTTCTCTCCATCGTTCATGCTCTCTCTCTCTCTCTCTCTGTGCTTTTGTCTGCATGTCTGGTACGCAGTCACATTTTAAAATATTTATGTCGACATTTTACATTTTAGCCATTTGGCTGATGCTGTAATCCAGAGCTGCAAACAATGAGTGCAACAGCAGAAGAAGCATGAGTTTGTAGATCAGCAACATTACAGTTGAAACAAGGTTTATGTTATGAAAGTGAAGAACTATCAAGATCAAAACGCAAACGAACTGAGGAGAACTCTGCCATATTTTAGGTGTGATGAGAAACATTTACCAGAAAAAGACTTTTATAAATATCAAAGAACGACTCAGCGATAGATTTTGTTATTATCGTATCTCTGCTCCTTTGTAGAAAATGGATCTGAAGTTTCCAAATGGCAAAGAACCAACAATCATCTCACTTCATGCCCACTTGTTGACAGCGTTGCTGTGGTTGTTGTCAGGGGCAACAGTATTGATATTCCAGTGATGCATGTTCAAAATGTGCTGAAAAAACAAACTGTACTCTTCATGTACTGAAATGAAACATGTCTGAGTACATTTACAGACATTTACAGCAGCAAATAAAACTGAACTGAATTAAACACTGGGTAACATTTAGACCTGTGCTCTCACATGCTCCATCTTCTCTTGCTCCTCACTACATTCATCTTCCCAGTGTACTCTTCTGTTGTGCTATCGACCGATCATTGATTGCTAATCTCTTTGCAGTGGAGCCACCTGTTATCTCACACACATACGGTAACACAGCTTTTCATTATTGGTCACCTGTGATCCTAAAACAGCTGATGCCTCCCATCACCCAGACTGTGCTATCAATTGGAATTAGGTCTTGGCTGGTAAACCACAGTTACCCCACTAGACCTCAGTTTATCACCAGGTTAGTTTCTATCCAGCTCTGATAGACTGACAGGATCATAAGCACTTGAAGACATAAAGTTTTTAGTATATATTGTGTTCACAGTGGAAAACTGTCAAAGTAGTACTAAGTAGTAATACCCTAAACAGATTGTATCCAGGCTAAAAACAAAATTTAATCTGTTATTAATGGATACTATTATCCCACAATCCACTGCACATTACATGTCACTGCAAGGAAATAAGGAGCTGCTCTCAACTGTAAAACATTAAAAAAAATCATCTCAGAAAACAAAAAAATATCTATTAATCCTTGGAAAAAGATTCTGATTCTGTCAGAATAAAACACTTACATATGCTGATTTTTTGACAAAACACGATATCATGATGATTAGTATGTAGTACATATTGTACAAGTCTAGTATGCCATATGGATTGGAACACACCATTTGAGTCAACAGCCATGATGGCCACTCTGACACTGTACTAAAGTACAGCAGTGATTTGAGCCTAATGCAAATGTCAGCATGCTGACATGTTCACAATGGCAGTGACAGGATCATAAAAGTTATTATAATGTATCTTGAGGGCAGCATTTCTGAGCTGATTTTCATGACAGTCCATCCAATTTGTTGGAACATTTCCATCTGAATGAAAGTGGTG